TTTGATAGGCCCTGAATCAAAAGTATTTTTAAAAAAAAATAAGTATTTATACGCTCTTAACATTTCAATTGATATTTTTACCAATCCGAAAACATGTGATGTGATTCTATGGTGCAACGATCCTATGTTGAATCAAATTATTAGAATCTGCATGTTTTATGTTTCCATCAGAGATCGGGAGCTGATCTAGCCAAAAATGCTGGATTATAAGGATAAACCACGATAAGACAGCTGCAATGTTTCCACAGATCTACAGATGTCTGAGCTGTACTCTGGTGTTTTCAGTCCAGTTTCAGTTCATCTTTATGGTGGCAATTCACAACAAACGTCGTCTTAAGGGACTTTACAAAGACAAAAAAGTAAAAATACATAAAAAGCTCATCCCGTCATCCAAAAAAAATTAAAAATAAAATAAAAAACACAGCTTTTCACCCAAAACTTCACTTGTGAATTTGTCAATAGAAATGACAGAAATATTACAAATTCACTGAGAAAGAGGCTGAATATTTCATTTTCCTACTGTAGGCATAGGAAGAAAAAAAAAAAAAAAACCTCACACCCTTGGCACATAGCTTATTTTTTTTATGTTGCAACTCTCTTTGAGATTAGAACATTGAATGATTAAAATCATGCAAGAGGCTTATAAACAAACACGTGAGAAGCTGAAATCGTAGTTCAGATACAAACCAGTCCGGACGCCAGGCGGCATACATCACACAGATGTTGGTTTATGCCAACATCATGACTTGCTTCACAGCAGCAGATAATAAAAGTAAGACGACCAGGATCCTGAAGCCGCAGAGCGTCATAAAGTGTCGAAAGCGACAAAGATAAATGTACCTGAATTACACCAAGTCTGGACTGGATCCAAACTAGAAAAGTTTCTGTTGTTACCCCTGCTGTACAGCAGTCCTCTGTGTGTGTGTTGCCTTACCCATCTTGGATTCTTCTGCTTCTATGATTCTCCTCACAGACTCCTGCATCAGCAGAACCTGCAGGGGAGCCGAGGGAGAGAGGAAGAGGAGGAGGAGGAGGAGGATGGGTAGGGCCAAGGAAAACAGTGTAGGATAGATGAGATTCGGTCATGAGTTCATAACGAGGAGAGCCTGACTTATGAACAGAGATCATTTACACCCCACCACACAACGGAGGGAAAAAGAAGAAGGAAAAATAGAGCATTTCTGGAAGGAGGTACTCACAGCGGTCTCAGCCTCCTGCTTCTTCTTGGCGATGTCTGTGGCGGAGCTCTTCCTCTGCAACTCCAGCTCTCTGAGAGAGACACACAAAAGCAAACATCAACAGCCACCCCGCTGGGATTCACTGTGGAGGCTTTCGCTGATGGTAGCACAAGCATTAAAGAAACCCCTCGACACGCTCGTAAACAGAAATGCTAAATATTTCACCAGCGCGAGGGCTTCAGGCGGACGTTCCTGATCCAAAACTCAGAAACCGAGGGAAACAAATAGCGACTCACTCAGTGATTACGGCGATTTGATGACGAAGGGTTGATAGCTATCAAATTAGGTTTGAACGGCGATGCGGTTAGACTACTCACTGCTCCTTCTGCGCTTTCGTGTACGGGATTATAATTAGTCTGTGGACGGCGACGTAGGCCAGGAGGGGTCCGACGGTGGCGTAGAAGACGGCGCTTGGCAACAGCTGGTCTGTCAGGTGGACGGGGAACAGGTACGTCTGACTGGCACGCGACAGCCTCGTTAAAACAAACACAAGAAGAGGTATCAGCAGCAGAACAAGGTGACGAGACAAGACCGTCATTCAGACGGACGAGGACACACAGAAAAGTGCGAGCTCGCGGCTCATACTTTATCTTGAGTGTGACTCCCTGCGGGACGCCGATGCTGACCGTGGCCGACAAAACGCTGTGACGGCTGATCTTCCTCTCCGCTCCGTACTCCACCACTGTGCCGAACCAGCCTGTCCTGCGAGAAAACGTGAACAGAGATCGGACC